AGCTAGGGTTACCCGGGTAGGTGGGTTACCCTATCAGCTCGCTAGGGTTACCCTGGCAGGCGGGTTAACAATGACCGAAAGCCTGAATGTTGTTCAAACGCGCTCAAATCGCATTGAAAACAAAAACGTTCACCCTACCTGTTAAATTACCTGTGAAATTTTGCCAGTAAATCCGAGCTATCTTTTGCCCTCCAGCTAGGGTTAACCCGCTTGCTAGGGTACTGAAGCCTCCCTCCTTGTAAACGGACCCTTACTTTGTATTGTGCGCGAGCGTTCAAGCTCAGTGATGGTTTTGGGCATGCGTAGAGAGAGTAACCGATGTAACTAATGCTGGCTCACCTTCTGATTTATCCCAGAGGTCTTGATTTCTTGTTGCTGATCAAAAGGATCGCACCCTCAGGGAACCAACCTCGTTCCCAGGGCTTTTAGGGAAAAGCCCTGGGAGCGAGTTTGTCAGGGAACGAGATTGACTAAACGGCTGGGATGCAGTGTCAGAAACAAACAGAAACTAAGTAAGCTGAATATCATACGGGATAAAAACCCAGGCCAAATATCAATGAGGATTGGAGAAAGCTGCCGAGTGAGCGGAGGATCCAAAATGCACAAGGGGCTATACAATTGTAACGACAGAAAATTATCCACGACTCTGAAATACTTGGAATTTAACTTAATAATAATAAAATCTTCCAAAATGATCATTGTGCTTGAAAAGTAACTGATTGACACTCCACTAAGCCAGCTATTGCAAAACAATGTTTTTTCTTATCGTTATTATAATTATTATTATTATTATTATTATTATTATTATTATTGATGCCATCTTTTTCGCAGACTGGCGTTAAATCTCTCTTCGATCTCGAAAACAAGTTCCTTGGAAACCTCCAATTGGCACCGTCACGTGTTCACAATGTCCTACGGAATGTCGGGAAATTTCCTCTCATCATAACCACTAATATGGACGAGCTGTTAGAGCGCTTCCTCTGGAAGACTGGGAATGGTGGCGAGAAACTGCGTTTGGACCAGGTTGGTATATGAGAAGGACGCGCGCAAAAATACTGTTTTCATGTCATTCCTTAACCGTTTAAGTCTTGATGTCCGCATACAGATTCTCTTATCAGGTGTCCACAGATTTCCTGTAAAACCAGTTGGGATAATTTGATATTCCTCCAGAAAGTTTCTTTCTTGCTGTGAGCCTTAATCAAAGGGCTCCAACGTTTAGCTAAAATTTAGTTCGTTTCGTGTGCAAGTTTGGACATAAATTTTGTTTGAAAAGGTGTTACGCGTATTACGTATTATTGATCGATCGATCGATCGATCGATTGATTGATTGATTGATTGATTGATTGATTGATTGATTGATTGATTTGTCTGTCTGTCTGTCTGTCTCTCTGTTGCCTGTTTAGGGATTTATTGTAATTATTTTTTGGTTGCCTTATTGTAAGATTTCGTGCCTTGCCCAGTCCTGGCCGGATCTACGTAGAGATTTGATCATTAAGTGCCTTGGAGATGCAGGTTTCAATGCGAGGACGTTGGTAAGCTATTGTTACACTGGCAGAAGAACTATTCCAACATCAACAGTAGGTAATTGTTATCTATATATAGTTCCTTTGCATAAGACAAAGCACTTCAAGGTCGCCTAACCAATCTGAGCAGTTTCCATCCCCATAGCCAGTCAGGTGAAAAATCGTCGCTTAGTGTGATTTGGCCCACGTTTCTTTTCCCGCGATTCTCGCGGATCGCTTGTTCCTGCTAAATTTGCAGATGCGATGATTCGTTCCGAGAGAGCACTAACTATTTTGCAGCAGTAACTTGAGCCCTCCACTCGGCGCAAAAAGCAAATATTTAGGCTCAAATCACCCGAATGCGAGTCAACGCACGCCACTATACCGAAATTTTCCGAGGTACTCAAGGCCGCCTGACTCGAGACACACCAGGCCAGTTGTTGGAAGGCTGGATAACGCCGGCTATCCACCGGAGAAATCACTAAATCGGCAATCCACCCGATAAATCGCGGATAAGTGATAACGAAACAAACCACGCTATCCACTGAATAGTGATTTATCCCGTGAATAGCATTATCCACCGTTCGAACAACCTGGGCCTGTAGTGCACCTGGACTAACCCATTAGTTGGCAAATGTAGCTGAGTGTAGTGCTTTACTTGTCCACCTTCGCAACCCAAAAGTTTCTTTACAAAGTGCTACTTTTGTTCATTCATTATAAGGAACCCTCCTACTTTTCTAAATTCAGCTTAATTGAATACTTACCGTGTGTATCTTGGATGCTCTAGATTACACCCTGTATAGGGTGCGCCTTGATCACTATGGGATTATATGGCGTCACGATTGCAAATTGGAAGTTTGAATACTGTAGGATAGTTTTGCTTTAGCGCAGTACCATACGGTATCCTTTGAGAGTTACAGTAACGTTTGAAAAGAAGAGTCAACCTCGTCCCCAGGTTGTCTTAACGACAAGGGAGGCAAAGGAGTGAGAGAGCCTGGAAACGAGCTTGAAGAAGAGTGTGAAATATAATTATGTGCTTGATTTGATTTACGATGATTATTTTTGATGATTTATGCTCAAAATAAATGCTATGCCTCTAAAACTTCACTTCCTAAGTGTAGTCATATTTACTGTCGCATGCAACCCATTCTGCTGATATAAGCATTTTCTTATCCTTTTTTTTTGTTTTTTTCCAGCCTACTAGTAAGAAGTTCTTCGAGAACTTTTGCAGCGCCCTTGAAAGCTCAGAGGTGGAATTTATGCGTCAAGTTTTCAATGACAGATCTGTGCTGTTTCTTGGCTGTGACCCGGCACGTACAGAGTACAAGAACTTCTTCCAAAAGTTTGCAGTCAATGCAAAGGTTAAGCAGTTGAAATAATCCATATGAAATCCTTTGTTTTGCTTATTTTTGTTACGAATGGTTTTGTAATAAATAGTTTAAAGTGATGACATCTTGTTTAGCGCCTTTGGAATTACATTACCTGTCGAAAATAGCCTAAATTAAATTAAAGGCCAAGTGGAAGTCCGTTGGAGTTAAATATATATAGAGCATGTTCGTTATTAATTCAGTTTTCTTTTCACTCTTTTTACAGATGAAACATTACAAGTTTGAGACTTACGGTGAGTCAGATCTAGAGAGAAATGGGAATCTTCTCACTCTGAAGGCAAACATACAGCCCTGGGAATTTGTACAGTTCTTAAGTACAGGAACTATTCAAGAAGAAATTCAACCTGGACAGGTAAGCTTCAAGGCTTGTAGCATGACATGTTGCCGCAGTGAAAACACTGACTGACTGTCTGACTGACTGAATGACGAACTGATTGTTTGTCTGACTGGCTGACTGACGGACTGTCAGACTGACTGACTGACTGACTGACTGACTGACACATTGGCTGACCGACGGATTGTCTGACAAACTGACTGACGGACTGATTAACTGACTGACTGAGACATTGGCTGACTGACTAACTGTCTAGCGGACTGACTGACGGATTGATTGACTGACTGACTGACTGACTGACTGACTGACAAATTGACTGACTGACACAATGACTGTCTGACTGACGGACGGACGGACGGACTTACCGGGTGACAGACGTACTCTGTCAAATCCTAAGGCGGATCTTTGTTGTTCGACTTCGTTCAACTCTTAAGACTTTCGTTTGTCATAGTTTCACCCCTTTTATCAAACTGAAAAAAAAAAATTAAACACAACTCTTCGTCCCCAAGGTTTATGAAAGATCTTACTTGCGAATCCAACGGGAAGAATATCTTCAACAACAACTTACACTGGAGAAAATGGCCTCAGAGATTATATTTCACACAATCAATATAACAAACGCATTGTCACCTGACGAGTACTTTGAACAGATCTCACGTCCTGCCATACAAGACATGTTTGCAAAAGATCCTTTCGGTAAGTTTTTATTATTTTACTGTTTATTTTAGCATGCATTGTAGCAACCTCGCAGGGGATTTCTAATATTAGCCAGTCGCTTAACTGTCTCATTTACTTTGATAGTGTCGAATAGGGGTGGGAAACATGAATAAACAAGGAGAGATAGATGGACGGGCCGAAAGAGAGGTAATAGAAAATGGGGAGAAGGAGAAAGGAGGGAGGGACGAAGGGACGGAAGGGGGAATTGGGTGAGGGACAGAGTTAGG